TTATATTTAACATTTATAAACAGGATACAAATACTGAATAAATCGTTTGTTACACAATACACTAAACACAACACTATCTTACATTTTTACTTATACGGATAACATTATATAGATGTATGATTACACACATGAACGAATCCTTACAGTGTGTTACAAAGCATTTATTAACAGTTTTTACAAGTCATTTACACACACTTGTTCTAATGCATTACTTAGGAATGTGAGGATTTTTTTTCAATAAAGAGAAATTCAGTAATTACATTGCTGTCACTAAAGCCAGTAACAGCTGTTTGCCAGGGGTTCGATGGAGGATCGATATCAGTTTCTTATCAGAGGACAGACTGCTGCAGGACGCGTTAGCTCGGTGTGAGGGGTGGTTGGACTTCACCAAGAAAAAGGAGAATTGTGCCTCCCGTTAACTCAAAGCGTACTATGCCATTGTGCCAACAGCCCATTATTCCAAACCCCCAATAGTCTGAAACACCTAACCAAACTGCAACTGTTTCACAATATTATGTTTTATTGTGGTTACCATGACGACAAAGGTCTACTTCAGTCATCATTTCCCACACCTTCAAATATACAAAATAATTCCAGGGAGAGAGTATATTTTCGGGAAAACAGGCCTTCGGAGCAGTGGACTTTTGTTTTCCGAGTAATAGGCTGTCGGACAAATGGACTTTTAGTCCAATGAAACATTTTCGGACCATTGGGGTTTGGAATAATGGGCCATCAGAACAATGGGCATTCCCCCTCAAAAGCTGCGATATGCACATGTAGTGACTTCTTAGCCCGTAGCTAACCACCGGTAGCTGTGCCTACATTTAGTTGGAAAGCCTTCAATGGAAGACGGGACTTCTCTGGAGTGCTGCATGCAGTAAGTCACCCGGGATAAGCTAACGTTAGCTGTTGAAGAAAATAGACCTACCCCCTAACCATAGGCTAAACTATAATGTCTTTTCTTCTCTACTTCAACAAATGTGTTGAAAACATTTCATAATAAAATGTGAAAATGTGTGTTACTTTTAAAGTTATACACTGTACACTATAACTATTGAACAATTCATAAGAGTTGTTAGAAAATACATTAATAAACGTACATAATAATTGTCTGTATATCTGGTTGTACAGCTACTTAATAATGTAATAATTTATCATACGCTGCTCAAAAAGGGGGAGTTAAAATAGTTACCAATAGATCCAAAACAGAGCTTGAATCCTGTACTTTTTTTTATGTTTTTTCTCTGTACCAGTCTTAATGAACTATACAGTCTTATAGAGCTCTATAGAAGACCGCATCACTGTATTCTTATGCTTTAAACTACTATTAATATAAAAGCCGCACATTTTAACTATTTTTCTTGAAACCACCATCCCAAAACTCACTTAGTTTCTAGTTTAATCTGTTTTATGTCCAAATGGGCAATAAGGTACATGAAATGGTAGTACATAGAAGCAGATGTAGTCATTGCTCCATCATCTTATTAAATTCCTTTTATTTTAAAAAAAAATATTTTTCATTATATATATTTTTAATGAATTGGTTGGCTGTTTCCACTGAACTGTTGAAAATACTGCAACATTTGAATCCCACATTGTCCCTACAGTGTTTTACTATACCATGAAAGAAACTATTGAATTCAGAAAATCAAATCCAATTGAGCTGTGTGAAACAGAGTAGACCCACTGAAGCGATGAGCCCACGGGGCAATCGTGAAAATATGTGTCCATGTCTTATCTGTAAACACCATCACCCACAGGCGTAGTCCTGTTTAGAGTTCCTCACTGGCTAAGTGCGACTTGTTTACTTTTATGGTTAAGTGAGGAATTTCTTATGTCACCAGGTGCGAGGGACCGTTTCTTGGGAGACCTGCAACAGGTCAGACTTGTGTAAATGTTGTGTCAAAGTCCCCAAATATGGCTGCTGACGTTTGTTGAGAAGTCTTAGGAAAAAAAAATACAAATCAACACACATCACATCTGCCTCTGCATATTTAACTCACTTTATTACCATAAGTCATTCATAGCTATTGTCTACAAAGAAAAGTTGTGCTTATGATTTAGGACAGCAGTGTTATTCATGAGAGAAACCCCCCATCAAAATGAAAATGTCAGTGGCTGCTGGTTGCCCTCCTGTCGTCCCCAGTAAAACAGCAGACTGGAGGCTCGGTCAGACCCCATGGACATGGTAATGTGAGGAATGCGGCCATTTCCTCCTTTGCAGGAAAACAAAAGGAGCTGCTGAAGCGCCTAGCTTGTCCCACCTCACATAACAAGGCTGCCGCTCCCAGATCACAGTCTGTATTGTGTTGACTCAGTCAGCCCAGGCCTCGCCATTAACAGGTTCGAATGGCTGATCTTAAATGTCACTCCTGTTGGCAAATGCGTTTTGAATTTTGAGGAAAAAACTGTTAAAGTCTGACAGGATGTCTGTTTGATGAAGCTGAAATGCGCTAACATGGTGTAAAATGTGCCGTTTGAGTCGGTTAAATCTCTGACTTTCATCCCCTGGGTGAACGTGCACTGTACCGACCTAATGTTCAAAAACACACCAGTGATCATACCTGGCTCCCCTGAGAATCTCACCTTCAACAACTCTCAGCAGAGAGAGAAGCACATGTTGAAAAATAACATATTCCTAACATTTGCTATTCTCTCTCAGCAAAACACAGGTGATGCTAAAGCAAATCATTTCACCTGCGTACTGATTTAAATAGCCAATGTTAGGAGGCTAATGTGGTGCACTTCCAGCACCACAAAGTGTTGTTATGCTTTGTTTGGGACACAGCATCAGACTGTGAAAATCCCTGTGCTAAGCTAAGCCAACGACACCAGACTCTAGCTCCATAGAGTGCTGCAGGAATGGCATATTTTTGTAGGCCACCTGGAAGTGAACATCACCCTGTTTTACTGATGCTGATGGGATTTTTCCATTGGATTTTGGATCACTGCAGAAAATAGCTCTGTGGAAGGTTTATGATACTCACACGTTTTGTTCAGCAAGATCTTCACAAACAAAATGATGTGTTGTCAGGAAACTATTTTAATATTTACGTAATCATATAGAGTGAATACACTTGAATGATGTCATGCTGGTTCTCACTAAGTGAGGTAACATTTCAGGGGAATACAGTCACACTCATTAAGGTGTATGACTATACAGTAAATCTGGTGTGGTTGACATCGAGAGGAATCATAACAAAAGACTTGTACCAGCAAGTTTAGCTCTGATGTATTGTGCTGGCTTTCCTGTCTATACAAACAGACACAGAAACAGCGCTTCAGAGTTTCAGAAAATGATCCTAATCCTTTAGTGAGCTTATGAAATCCCACTAAAATGGTACATAGTACAAGAACAGAGTGTGAGGTGTTATAAACCATATCTTGTCGAGCCAGATGAATCATGAAATGAGAAAACCTGTTGATTGTTATCAGTTGTGGAGATAATCAGCATTCTTTAGGGAGTGTTGGACTTCAACTGCCATGCAAATCAGCAGGTGGACGTTTGCCTGTGAGTGTTTGAGATAAAGTAACCTACAGTTTGCCTGCACCGCGTTAACAAGAGGAGACTTGTTTACACCTGCCACAGCCTCCACCAGCCTCCACCACCACATTAGGATGATCCTTTTCATGCAAAAAGGGCTGCACTCAATGACAATACTATCCAATACTACGACCCAACCCCCACTGCCAGCTGATCCCGGGGTCTCCATCTACATGCATGCGTGTGTGAATGAAGCATATAGCTGGTGCTAGTGGTGGAGGGGAGAACAGCAGATGGCAGGGCTGCCCCCATCATGTCTGCTTTTGGGGGAGAACAATGCATCTCTCAGAGCTCTTATTAAAGGAGGGGAAGGGGATTTCAGTCCACGGACAGCTGGCAGGCAGCGTGCCTCGCACCCGCCCCTCTCCCTCCGTGTCCACACACAGACACACTCTCTGCAATTAACTGGCACGGGCCACGGCTTAAATATTTACCAGGCACATGCAAACAAAAGGCTGTTCAAGAAAATAATGATTCATCCATGTCTCAATTATATGACAGCACTTTCTGCATCTCTGCCTCACTGTAGTGGTTATAGTGAGATCTCTTACTGTGGTCACACAAATTATGAGATCTCAGTTCAATATCACCTAATTTCTAGTGCAGATTTTCAGTTTATTATTCCATAAGTCAAACAACCAACAATTTAAAAAATCAAGTTGTAATTTATCAAACACAATTGCAGCTTCTTAAATGTAAGAAATTGCTGTTTTTCTCAGTTTAGCGAGTGTCTTTGGGTTGTGGAGAACAAAGGGTATGAATACATCACCTGGGGCTTCTGGGAAATTTGAGCACTTATTATTATTTTGATGGTTTAAAGACTATAATAGATGAATGGATAATGTGAACAGCTGGTAGTTGCAGCCCTTATCATTTTACCACTTTTTGTAATGAGATATTGAGATTGTGTATCTGTTTTTTGCCAAATATCAATATTCTCTTGAAATTCTAACAAACCGTGTGCCTAAATCTTGACTTTTTCCTCTCTTATATCATTTTTTTGACACAGAAATCCTTTTATATCATCATATTCCTTAATCTTATCCCCAGAGTATTTCAATAAAGACTGTATGACAGTGATGTTGTAATGTTTTACTGCATTTTATGATCTCTTCCTCTCCTGCAGGCTCACAGTAACATATGTCTCTCCTTCAAATGCAAGGGCTCCAGTCTCCTTTAACTTCAGGAGCAGCGGGGACTTAAAATTCCTCAAACTACAACACAACAAAAAACAACAACAACCTCTTTTACATGACACAAGCTGCCAGCTGAGATAGTTAGTGCTGCTCTGAATCCAATTTCTTGCCACCCCCCCTCACCCTCACCCTCCTCCTCCTCCTCCTCCCCTGTGCTCTGCTTTTGATCCCACAGGGACATTCCAGTCATTCCAGCCGCAGCGAACAATCGGCCCTCAGTTATTTATTCGTGCAGCTCGCAGCTCCGCTCCGCTCAGTCTGCTGCTGGCCGTCGGTGCGCACACACTAACGTTACATGGAGGAAAACAGAGCGACAAACTGGGCAAACTTGAGTTGAATTGTGCGCACAATACTGTTGAAATTACCGGTAACTGTTTCCTGGGTGATGAGACTATAATTTGGTAAGTTTTCCCTTTTTTGTTTGGATGCCTGGTAGCTAGAAGTCCCATTGGTACGGATTGTGTGCATGGCGCAGTATTAATGTGTGATTGCTTCTGCGAGTTTTTATGTTTCGTTTAAAGCTGGTGGAAGAGGTTTATTTATATGTTTGATCCAGTGAAGAGCATCACCTTCACAGGACTGGATCCTGATTTCCACACATATCCGAGATTAATCCCACACGGTTGAGTTTCTGGTCAACGTAAAGCCTCTCAGCAGGATTTTATCATAGTAGTTCTCACATGGAGCTTCTAGAGAACAGCCGTTTTTAAATTAAGCATTTTACATGTTTCCTTGTGTTTCTTATAGGATCATATTTTGCTGTTACAGCTTCATCATTATAGTAGTACATTTGGAAAATCAGTGTATTTGTTGCTGTGTGTGTGGGAAGTCTGTGGTGTTTATAGCTACTGATGAGTATTACACTTACGTCCGTCTGACTGGGACATGTTATGCTTTAGAGTGTGTGGGCAATAAAACTGGATCTGCACTGACATCATTGTCAGGGGTATTTCCAGCTACAGCCTGTGAACTTGCAGCAGAAGTCATCGTGGAACCAAAGTTTATAAATTAATTGAGAAGAATTCTCACACTGAAATGCTACCATTGATTATTGACTCATTTTGGTGATAACAACAGAGTCAATGAACCCTGAAAATGCTCCGAGCTGATTAGGTCAAATGTAATATACTCATGTTGTGCATTACATCTGATCAAGAGTATTATTTTTCCTTCAGATTTGCTACTTGTGAAGTGCCCCAACTGCCACCTAGGCTGTTTTTTTCTTGTAATTTATCACTGACTGAAATGAGAACCGCTGAAGGCGCATCTGGAACGGTCCTCCACCGTCTCATCCAAGAGCAGCTCCGCTACGGGAATCTGACAGACACTCGCACACTCCTCGCTATCCAGCAGCAGGCCCTGCGTGGAGGCAGCAGCGGCGGGGGCACGGGCAGTCCTCGCTCGTCTCTGGAGAGCCTGACTCAGGAGGAGTCCCAGTACGTCCAGATGTCAAAACGGCAGGAGCCTCAAGGCCAGGAGCACCAGGGGGACTGCCTTCACTCCGAGAGCCAGGTGTGCCATCTGTACCAGCTCCATGGAGAGGAGCTGCCCACCTACGAGGAGGCCAAGGTCCACTCCCAGTACCTGATCTCCCAGCTGGGGCAGGCGGAGCAGGAAGGGCCCAATATGGACATAATGGGGAGACGCAGTGAGGGACAGTGGGATTTGAAGAGGGAGCACGCTCGCTCCCTCAGCGAGAGACTCCTGCAGCTTTCTCTGGAGAGGAACGGAGCTAGACACAGTCTGGCTATGAGCTCTTCACACAGCTATCCACAGCTGTATCATAATAATGTCACAAACGCTGTGGCCCCTGACAGGCAAGGGTCCCAACAGTGTGTGGACCAGCGAGGGCCACCCCCGGACTATCCTATCTTTGCCAGACTTCCTGGATATATGGTCAGCCACTCACAGGAGCATGGACAGTACTGCAGAGACCCTCCTCCCCCCTTCTACTCACAGCATCACAGGTAATCAGATGGATTAGGATTTAGTTTGGGTATCAGATAAAATGTGGCCACATTAACAATTTCAGAAAAAGCTTTCACGGTATTTCCTAGACCTTATGGTTTTCAGCAGCGTAGTAACCAATTACTTGTTTCCTTTCAGAGGGTATGTGTCAGCTCAGTCCCAGGTGGCTCACAACAGCATCACCGCAGCCCCGAGCAATAACTCAGCTCAGACTGACGCGTTGATGCGGGAGAACGAGAGGCTCAGGAAGGAGCTGGAGGTCTATGCCGAGAAGGCCGCCAGGCTGCAGAAGGTGAGAGAGGAAGGTGGTGCAATGAATGGAGCTGTTGGCTCACAGAGAGTGTGGAAATCGTAAAAAACAATAGTTTCCTGCCAGTACATGTCAGGGTGATAAGCTGTCTGGCAGTTAAAGAATATGCACAGGAGACAGATGAGTGATTTGTTCACTTCATGGAGGAGTGACATAGTTTTTATTTATAGTATATGGATATTTATTTCATGGTTTTCATGGTATGTTGAGGGATTTCTTTCTCATTCCAGCCTCTGGAATGTCCTATAACACATCCTACCCCCTTTGTATTTCAAACATGCTGGCATATTGCCATGAAAGGAGATAAATGCCTTGACACCTGGGACCCAAGTGTTCACTCAGGAATGTTGATTCCCTCTTTTCAGTTGCGCATAGTGTTAAAAAGCCATTAGCCTGTAGTCAGAAAAACAGAAAAAGGAGAGTCAGTTGTAGAGACGGCTAATTAGCCCCATTGATATCAACAGCTGACACATTAAACCACAATCTAGACTATGAATGGCGAAGCCTCTCCCAGAGACTGATCATCTTTTCACATTTTCTTCCCAGTTGGAGTTAGAGATCCAGAGGATATCTGAAGCTTATGAGACTCTGATGAAAGGCTCTGCCAAGCGGGAAACTCTGGAGAAAACAATGAGGAATAAACTAGAGGCTGAGATCAAAAGGATGCACGACTTTAACAGAGACCTGAGAGGTATGTGCCCATTCATCTGTTGGACCAAAACTCTCCTGGTGATGCACAGCCTGCCTTTAAATGTAACCCGCCATGTCTAACCATAATGTTTTTGTTTGTTATCCTCTCTACAGAACAACTTGACACAGCTACCAAACAGCGAGCAGCCAAGGAGGCCGAGTGTACAGACCAGAGACAGCATGTCTTTGTTAAACTGCTGGAGCAAAGTAAGTCTTTTATTAGAGTCTCATAGCATGCTTCATGACAGAAAAGAGGAGAGGGAGGAGGATCAATTTTTTTTTAAAGATCTGATTTGACAAATCACACTGCCCTGAGAAGCACTTAACAATGGCAGGAACACAATTAAGCTGGGATTGGTTTTCTCCTTCGTTTGGGGGGGGGTTATAAAAAGCTGTGGCTCTATCTCCTAATGTTACTCTTGGCACTCGGACGCCAGCCATTTTTCATAGCTGTAGTAAATGTGGCCTGGATTCCAGGAATTTTTTTTAGGTATTCAGGCTGTTCCAGCATTAGGAATGCCTCCCTCCCCCTTCTCCCCCGTCCCTCCATGCTCAGTTTTGCATCACTGCTGACTTCCCTCCTCAAGGGGAACTAATAAGTCTGGGACTCCAGGATGTCCAGACCCAACTTGACATGACCCCTGGCTAGCTCACTCTCCTTGTTTGGGCATTTCTTTACCTCATGGTTTAATCATGATCGGCCACTTCTGAATATTTCTCCCCTCCGTTTCTGTTCGGTGCTGCAGGGTAAACCCGACTTTTGTTACTATGAAAATAAGGATTAGATTTGTCTTTCAAAGATCCTCAGAATCAGCGGTAGTTACATAATCAGCCGTACTGTTCTGTTATACATTACCCTGCTGGAATGACAGTTGCACATTTCTGGGTATTATAAGCAGCCATGTGATTTTCTTGAGCCATAAGATCAGAAATATTGTCAGTTTTCCTGAAAACAGTTATCTTGCAGCAACAGGAACCAAACCACATTTGATTTACAATAGGGGGATGTGTCGTTTTTTTGTTACAGGGACCACTTGAATTATATTTTGAGCTGCTTGTTTACTTCACGTCCTTAGAAGCATTCCAGAGCTTTTCCCAGTACAAAGCTACGCCTGTGTGCGTAAGTGGATAAGAGGAAGTCTGCATTCCCTCCACAGGCATGCACTCGTGTTGTGTAATCAGCCCCCTTTTTAAAGTGGCACAACAGATAAACTGGGTTTCTAAAAGTTTCCATTGAAGTATGCACTAGCTTTTAATTAGTGAATGAGAAATATTTTATTTGAATGTTTATCAAAAGTAAACAGCACAGCAAACTGGTTGTCTTTTTATTTAGAAGACATGCTGTCGTTGAACCACATGCCTTGATGGCAGTGTGTGAATGTCCCTTGTTGGGTCACATTCCATTCAAAATATAACTCCCTGAGCTCACATAGCCGCTTGACTGACCCCATCAAAGGCCACTGAACACTGATTGATATACATTACATGCCCTTTTAAGCATTCATTTGACCTCCTCTATGAAGCCACTATTGTCCCAGGACAATACAAGCATGATAACCTCTCAGCCTCATATCATCCAGGATCATGCCACTGTTACTCTTTCCACCATTCACCTTTTTTTGTCCCCCCCCGTATTTTAGATGAAGAGCAGCAGAGGGAGCGTGACCAACTGGAGAGGCAGATACAGCACCTGCGCGTCTCCGGGGAGGAGTGCCAGCGGAGACGGGAGCTGCTTGAGCAGGCTCTGGCCTCCACGCAGGCCCGCAACCGGCAGCTGGAGGAAGAGCTGCAGCGGAAGAGAGCGTACGTGGAGAAAGTGGAGCGTCTGCAGAGCGCGCTGGCTCAACTGCAGGCAGCGTGCGAGAAGAGGGAGGCGCTGGAGCTGCGGCTGCGCACACGGCTGGAGCAGGAACTGAAAAGCCTCAGGGCACAACAGGTGAGAGGAAGAAGTCATTACATAGACTTGTTTTTTTTTATTTTAAATCTGTAATTTAAAGGAGGTGTTCGACGTTTTGTAAAATATGCTATGTTTGCTGTCTTGTCGAGAGTTGGATGAGGAGATTGGTACCACCCTGCTGCTGCTGTGTAGCTTCATGTGTAGTGCACAGACATGAGAGTGGTATCAGTCTCACCTGACTCTCGCTAAGAAAACAACATAAGGGTATTTCCCAAAATGTAAAAACTAGTTAAGTAAAACCTTAATTTAAATTACAGGTGCTTGTTTATCTGGATGCCTAATGTTAACAACTGCTGTCTATTATCTCAGTCTCAGAACCAGGCAGCTGACCCCACGGCTTCAGAACTCAGCTCCTCCACGCTGCAGCAGCAGCTGAGGGAGAAAGAGGAGCGTATTCTGGCCCTGGAGGCAGACATCACCAAGTGGGAGCAAAAGTACCTGGAGGAGAGCACCATGAGGCAGTTTGCAATGGATGCAGCTGCCACCGCTGCAGCACAAAGGTACGACGGAACAGTGATAAATAGAGCAAAGAGAAAAATCACAAATTAGAAATTTGTAAACGTTTTGGGAAGGTTTTTTAACAGTTCTCTATTTTCCTTGCAGAGACACAACCATCATCAATCACTCACCTCGACATTCACCAAACAACAGTTTTAATGAAGACCTGCCTTTGTCAAGTCATAGACACCAGGAGATGGAGAACAGGTACACATCTATAAATCCACGTCCTCGCTAGATACTAGTTGCTGCCTGTTTCTTGGGGATTTGTGATCTGATGGTGTATTCCACGTGTTTAGGATCCGCGCGCTTCATGCTCACCTCCTGGAGAAGGATGCTGTGATCAAAGTCCTCCAGCAGCGCTCCAGGTTGGAGCAGGGCAAGCTGGAGAAACAGGGGCTTCGTCTGGCGCGGTCCGTCCCCTCTATCAACACCGTGACCAGCAGCACAGAGAGCAAAGGTAAGCACAATAGGAGAATTTTTGAATCTTTAATGACACATGCTATCGAGCGACAACTGGCAGACAGGCCAGCGTCGCCAGACAGAAATGTACACTTCCTAAAAAAAACGACAGTGGGAGACAACCCTTTCGTGTCCCTCAAATAGACAACATGTTTTTAAACTGGAATGCATATCATCTCACACTCCAGAATAGCCTGATCCAGAATAGTCATGGGAAGAACTCCGCAGGGCAGATGTTCAGGAGTGTGTAAATGTGGACATAAGCAAGTAATTAAGCAGCCTCCTCTCTTTGTCTGCGTTTGTAGGAAAGAGCCTCTCAGATGACCAGACAGGTGCTACCGTGCTGCAACCCCGACCCCTCATGGTGCCCAGGGGCCCGAGCAGAGACTGCAGCACCCAAAGCGACGAGACCCCGGAGGAGCCTGAGCTCATGGCAGAGCCTAGCAAGCTAAAGACTTCTGAGGCATCAGCAGCTACCACTGGTGGGTTTATTGTTTTGTTAGGCAGTTGACACCCAACCACCACCACACAAACTACTGTTCTGTTCAGTCGTTCCTTTGATCCTTATTCTATTTGACCGCTATTTAAAGCGTAACTGGATCGGGGCAGACTAATGATGTGCTGTTGATAGTAATAAGTTCAAACTTTGTTGTTAAAATTAAATAAGGTCGTGGACAGCTTTGCAAATAGCCAGCATTGCAGTTGTTATTTGCTTTAGCATGCCAAAGTTGTTTTTCTAATCTGCTAATTTTATCTCTACTGTAGACACCTCAGAGGAGCCAAAGGCACCACTCAAGACGCTCAAGAGCATCAACAGCTTGGATGCAGACGTGGTTGAAATCCTCATCTGAGTGCTCACTTGCAGCCAATATGACTGAACAGTGACGGCCAATGATGACAGAGACTTTTGGCTTTTTTCCTCGATGTCTGACCACAATAAAAAAAAAAGGCTGACCCGTCTGGCGCGAATCTAAATTGAAATGCAGAGTCCAGAATGTGGCAGAGTCTGGAGAGGAGAGCTGAGCTTTCCCTCTGCTGACAGTTGCCTCGTGAGTCAGAATTCTTCAAGGTACCTGGACAGTATTGTGCGTTATGATAGGAACTGGGCTGCTGATTGTGCATATGTTGTGCATGTTACTTATTAGTTATGTATTGTATTTATATTTGTAAATGCTGCTCGTATTATGATGTTACTTTTATGTTTGAGAAGAACAAGGATCACTCGTCTTGCTCTGCTCCACTTAAATTATACACAAATGTACTCATTGTTCTGGATTAAGTGCGCAACACATTTATGTTTTGTTTGGTTTATTTTGAATTTCCAGTAGTGAGCCTATTACCATCCTCTCTGAAAATAATGGGAATATTTATAAAATGACTCAGTATAAGCTTCCTCTATGTTTTCATGCCATGTTTGGGGATTATTCTGTTTAACAGAACTACTCAAACCTGAATTAACAGTTGCTCCTTTCTTTAAAATACATTTGGGGGCCCTGCTCACAGCCCAGGATTTGGAAACTTCCTCTGAATGCGGAGCCTGCAGAACGTCTGCTCATTTCTCTCTTTAAAAAGCCTGTGAGGATTGACAGCGTTTCACGGGGGTCTAATTTTCCAGATCCCGGGTTAATGTTTGGGGCCTCAGATGGCGACTGCCCAGCATTTCGCTCTCCTCCGCTGACACGCTGGAGCTAATCTTCTCACATTCCCCCACTGAGGGAATGCTCCCGTTAAAGAAAAAGGCTATCTAAAGTCTGACCCCTCGCCCTTGTTAAAATGGCACGCATTCTCCACGATTCCTTTTCTGGGGCTGGTTATTTCTTCTGAGCCGCGGTAGCCGGTTCTACCACGAGCAGAGAAATGGTCAACTATAATTGGCCTGCATTTGCTACTCTATTTGTTGTCCCCATCAATGTGTTATATTCAGCTGAGTTTTCTCCATTGCTCAAGTATCTCACATTTCTGGGACAACATGGAATCTTCTATTTATTTCTCCCTGCACAGTGTAGGATCACTGAACACTGCTGAATGTAGACTCCTGTTTCCCAGGACTGTTTTGTATTTAACTGGAATGTGCCAGAGTTTCGATTTGTCCCACCCATTAGAGGGGAATACCTAAAACTCAACATCAATGCATTTAAGAAGATGCTAATACATTATTGTTAGTACTGATGTTACTGTGCCTCAAAGTCTTCATGTGAGTCACAAACTTTTGTTCACTGTCAGGTTCCTTCTTTGACAGCATTATCAACAGGAGTATTGTCTGAAGTCCCACAAATGGCATGTGAAACCTCACATTTGACTGGTATTCCCCTTCAAGCTTTTTCATCATATGTCCCGTCACAGTGCGTCTGCTGGTCAGCGCGGTGTGTCAGTTTTAATTCATGCCCTTCACTTTGTTTGGAATGTGTTTACATGAATGGCTATTTGAAGTGAGAGATGTTAATATATTTTGTAGTTGTTGTTTTTTTCATTTATATACTGTTTGTTTTATTTTCTGGTGCCAAAGATGTACTCTACTTTTAAGTTATAACCGATGATGAATACAAAAGGTTCTGTTATGGTTCCTTGCTTCAGCTGGTTGACCCATTGTGATGTTGCTGTGAACTTTTGTAAAGGAAACATTTGTATGTATGCCTTAACATTTCACTATAATAGATTAAAATTCTTAATATATGTCTGATAAAAGGCTTTCTGTTTTGATTTGTTGCACTGGTTTAATACAGTATACGCATTGTTTCCTTATAAGAACCTAGTGGTGGAATGTACATTTACCTGAGTAGCCATGCTACAAATATATGACCTCACAGAATATGAGGCATTGCGTTAGATCAAACTATCCAACAGTATATAAAGTATTTAAAACATTTAGTTAACATCTACAGCAATAAAATGTAATATACACATTAATGCAGCAGTGTAATCCAAACACATTCACAGGGGAGCTTTTTTCTGCACAATGAATACTTATGATAGTGATAGTTAATACTCACATACTTTTACTGAAGTAAGACTTTGAATGCAGACTTGTAGCAGAGTATTTTCACAGTGTGCTACTTTTACTTAAAGGCACAGTGTGTAACATTTACGAGGATATATTGAAAGAAATAGAATATCATTTACATATGTATGTTCTCATTAGTATATAATCACTTGAAAAAAAATCACCTAGAAACCAATTTTTATCTAGAGAGACAGCAGGTCCTCTCCCACAGAGGCCGCCATGTTGAACCGCCATGTTTCTACAGTAGCCCTGAACAGACAAACCGAATACACTTTTCACACTTTGGTTGAGTGCTATTAAGATGGTTGCAATCTACTACTTTTCACAAAAACCCTACACACCAGTCCTTTAAGTAAAGGATCTGAATACTTCTTCCACTTCTTCTTTCACTACAGAAACCTTGCTGAACGTTTGAGGAGAACTTTGGTAGATAGATGCTGTAATAAGACCCCCCCACTCAAGATGTTCACTGTTAAACTCAACATAAACCTCTAACAGTTGTGTGTTTCTAAGATTAAGAATTTGTTAGCCTTACCGCTAACATTTAAGGGATGTATTGGAATAACATCTCAGAGTAAAGAGAGAAATCTTGATAACCTACATAAGGTATATTAACTGTTGAATGTATGTAAAGCACCTTACATTTTAAGCAAGGCTTTAACTTCGGGAAGACATTCAGGATAAGCTAAAACAGTATCAGTAGCAAAAGTAGAAAAGAAAAATCTGTGAATAATGTTGAACCATTAAGGTAGCTAACATTAGCTAACATTAGCCATTAAAGGCTAGTAGTTAAACCAGACCAGGTGTTAGGCTGTGCCACTAAAACCACTGGGAGTATTGAATTAAGAAAGGGTGTGTTTTATTGCTTATTTTATTTTAGAAGAGGTGTGTTATTTTCTAATTTCAGTCCATCCAAAATTGTTCTTCTGAGAATGAAAATCTCCCTCGCTGTAGGCTTGAGAGGTGGTTGTAAATGTTTGTATTTGTGTCCATGGAGAATATGGAGGCTGTGGTCAGCTTAAATTCATGGTGGTCGTGAGTGATTCCAATGGTGACGACGAGGACAAAATGTATCAATGTTTCCAAAGACAATCCTACCACTCCTAGAGAAACCAAGAGAAATGCATTCACTGAAACACGTGTATGTTGTTGGATATGGCTAAATATACTCCTTCTGTGGTGTTGCCCTTTTGATTCACTCTCACCAATTCTCCCTCTTACCAACCTTGTTTCCGTTTTAACAGGCAGAAGCTGTTTGTAGCAACAAAAGCTCTAAAAACTCCCATGTCCAGCACCAAAAGTCAGCAACTAACAGACTAACCAAACAGAGCTAAAAGGAGGGGGAATAGATTTTCTAAGTGCCCAGAAATAGCACTCCATTAAATGTCGAGGGTGTAACATTTAGGAGATCTACTGGCAGAAATGGAATATGATATTCACATGTTTTCATTAGTGTATAATCATCTGAAAATAAGAACCATTGTGTTTTGGTTACCATAGAATGAGCCGTTTCTATCTACAGAGAGAGTGGGTCCACCATGTTTCTACAGTAGCCCAGAACAGACAAACCAAACACTGGCTCTTTGCGAGTTCTGCAACCACTGTAGTTTGCCCTATGGTTTGAAAGGCGAGCTGATTTAGTTGGTTGTAATATTCAACTTCACCTCTAGATGCACTAAATCCTACACACTGGTCCTTTAAATCAGCTTTATGAAAGCCACACCACTGAATGATTGTCTTTTGGAGTTTTATGTAGTTCACGCTCAAAAACATCTAGTCTAGGTGACTGTAGTAATACTCAGGATAATGAAACATTTCCTGGCTGATAGCTGAAGTTGAGCCCTTTATATTTATTGACATACATCTTTAAAGCCTATTGCCAGTAGGAGGTTTTATATTGGTTAGACATAATCGTGGCACCATTTGTGACATTATGACATTTGAGGAAAATGTCATAGATTCTAACTGTTTCTTCAGAGGGATGGGCTCCAAATCCAGAGGCCAGTCTTTTTGTTGTATTACTAATGTTCCAAGATATAACCTAAATACTCTGGATTGATTCGTCATGGTTTTCACCATGAACACATTTTTAACGCCGTTTCTATTATTCATCCAGCAAACAACTGTCCCATGACAGACAAACGTCAGTAGCATCGTGCTGTAAGCTGTTCTGTACATCCAAAGCTAATGCAGAAATACTTGGAATTTCAACCAGTCTGATCATCAATCAGTTTATCTGTAGTGTATTGTGGTTGTATGATACTGAAAGCTGTGTATTTTGCTGTATATGTAAAAGCCCAATAAGGGACTGAAAAGTAGCAGTAGGTATAAACTCTCTGAGCATCAGTTTCATTCTCTGTATTGGAACCATGTCAAATTGCATCGTCCCCATCAAATGCAATTCAGATAAATAAACAGAAGATCTCGTTTCACATGATGTCAAATTTCAGACCTGCTCAGACTCACAGTAGGGACTGTTCTGCTGACTGTGATGAAGCATAAATTCTGAGAATATGATTATGTGAGCCTTCAGTGTTAACTGACCAATGTTACTGAGTGCAGGAAAGTTGATGTAGAGTGCAAATAGAAATGCAAACCCCAGATGATGATGTTTGAAAGTTGAATATTGGACCCTATCTTGCTAATTATATTGCTTTTAGGGAAGTTTATTTTCAGTGTGTCTTTCTAGTACATTCCCAGCCTTTACATGCAAAGATTCCTCTGTTAACTGACTTAAGATGTAAATATTTTTGCCCTTGTTCTCCCTGGTGAGCTTAGGATGGCATTCCATAGATGCCACACATTTTCCTCCTGCTGCCTTTACTTGTTGTAGCTGAGTGCCACTTTTCTCAGCTCAAAAAGGCTGCAATAATAAATCTGCTAAATGCCTTTTTCAGCTGCGACACATGCAGCAACCTAGCGTATATGAGTTTACCATCATTATGGTCCCATTGTGCTCAGACAGATCCCATTTCATATATTTCATCATGCCTTTAATATCAGTTCTTGTAAGACAAGAGCCCCCGCAGAACTGAGAGCAATGGTAGGGGCTTCTGTAGGTGAAAGGTTATGATTACGTAACTCCAGGCAGTGCCAACTTTGAACAGCTTCACAGGGGGAGATTCATTCCTGGAGACTCTCAAGTGTCCTAAACACATCATCCAGCCAGAATTAAGAAAAATTCAAACCTACGTACGTGTATGCATTCCACACACATCTGGAGTCTTGCAGGAATTACTGTGATTGTTGCATTTATCACCATGATTTCACCACTTTGGCTCCCAGCAACTGTGAATGGTTCTCACTTGACCGCAGCATCAGTCATAGCGGATTAAGAACAGATGTCAATTAGGTGTTCTGATATCATTAAAAGTTTTGTTGTTTTCTTTACCATGGAGTCATGTAATGCACATTCTTTACATGCTAAATTTACACGTGTCCCTGTTTACTTACACTGCTTGTATTTATCCTGCCTCAACAGTTCTGAACACTTCTAAAGTCATGCACCATTTGTATCATAATGTGAGTAAATCAATGTGTCTGGCAGCAATAGAGGGGACAATTGGTAACAAATCATGTGTCTCCTTTTGGAGGCATTTGAGCACATTTTGCACTAAAAGCCTGTGCGAAATACTTGGAAAAATAACTGTGGAGCTCTGTGTTTTGCCTTAATTTCCATGGAGATTCCAAAACTTCCTGCCTACAGCAGTCATGGAATGTGCCCCCACCCCCGTAACTTTTCCACATAAATCAGGGCACCGTCCTCTAATTTTAGGGCTGTTACTGAGATGAAGCAAACCTCTCAGATAGCAGGCCACTTGCAGCAAATTCTTTTGGTCCATGTCAATTGCAACATTGTGTGGCCGGTAAGCCAAAGGTATGAAGGCGTTTTGCTTTAGGTGTTAACTGTGGCCGAGCAGCAGCAGCAAGGGCACCACACCTGTTCTGCCCCCGTGCTGCCCCCGCTACCACATGTCTCCCATCCGCTTCTTTATGCTGTCGCTTTATGTTGCTCCTTTGCCACAATTGACATATTTCAAGTGATAGATAGACAATGTTAAATTGTCTTTTTCTTTTAGGATAGTACTTCTTTCATTGTATTAACTGTCATTGTGTTAAATGTGTGGCTTGTTAATCAGACTTAATACTTAAAGCTGCTCTGATCAATATTTTTATATTAATGATGAATCAAAGGGGTCATTCCTAGTGATGAATAACCAGGAAATTTCACCCAACTCTGTAGTTCCCCTATTAGCTCTACAGAGTGTGTTTTGGTTCACTCTCGTCAGTGTAATTTCCAGCAGCAACAGACGGTTCTTTTCTGCAGAAAACCCCTCTGTAACACTTCCATACACTATCTACCTGGCACAAAATGGCAAACAAAGCTAATGACTAGCTGGTGAACACAGTGGGAGATTTAGATGCTTAAGAGCCAGATATTTTTCTCAGGAGCTGGTGAGCCCAGAGCTAAAGAGAGAGTGATTATTGGATATAAATCTATCAGGTAGCCAGAAACACAGTGTCTGCTAGATGTGTAATTAAGCAATTGTTTGCCATTATGCCTTTATACAGTGATAATAAAACCATCAGGCAGAGTTGTAGACTTGCAACTTGAAGCTTAGTGTCAGTATTTGAGTCTTGACTTGATTTCACTCCCTAAAGACTTGACTTGAGACTGAAGACC